CCTTTCTGACCTTCCGATAGAATCTGTAACATCTGTCTGTACGAGAACAATGATAATCCTATCCCTAATTTTTGGCTGTTGCATTTCTCTTTGAGAGAGGCGGTGACGGATGCTAATAGATAGGAGCCCCTCCTCCCCCCCTTCCTCATTCTTGACTTCCCAGAAGAATGATCAACACCTTTTTTAGATGATGTTATTTAGCCATCATTCTTGGTATCAAGTAGCAGTCTTAGCTGTGAAAGATCTATCCCTTAAATCAGTGAGGTAATGAGCCGTAGTTGACTATTCTTTTCTCCTATCAAGCTTTTCAGCTCCTAACTGCAGCCAGTTTTTTTTCAAATTCGTCAGTTTTCAGTGATTTTGAAGTTACCGTGCATTCCCATCAACAAGAAAGTTTTAATACAGCTTTTACTGTTTTTCAAAAATTTCGATTATTTTATTGAAAATATGGAGGAAGGCACTTTTGTGAAACGGAAACAGTAGTTACAGAAATGGAGAGTCAGTAGATTGGAAAAATATGAATTGTTTTCAATTGAATAGATGCCTAAGGTGAAAGTTAAAACAGAGAAAAGAAGTGGAAGTAAAGGTGTGACTATACGAGGTCTGTTAGATTAGAAACTGGATTTTGGTGATAACTAGCCCGCAATGCGTCCGAATTAGGTTTTCTTGGACTTTTCTGATAGCTGATAACCTGATAATATACTGAAGAACACTACTTTTACAGATTTTGTTAAGTTTTACTAGTGTTCATTCTGTGTCACCTTGAATACGAATAAGTCAGGTGCGTTTTGCGATTATTATCATGCGATCACTGATAAGGCAAAGATTTAACATTTGATTTTGTTTTAACCTCGGTATACCTTGTGCTGAAACTTTTGGTATGCTAAGTAAAGTTTACCAAGATCATTGTATGAGTCGCTCTTTCTGTTTTGAGTGGGATAAACGATTCAAAACAGGTCAGGAGTCCGTCGAAGATGAGGAGCACGGGAATCGACCATCAACGGCTACTGACATTTGTCACGTTGAAGAAGAGCGGGCAAAATTGCTCCAAAATGGTCTTTTCGAGCTCGCTGAACAGGCTAATATTTCTAAAGGTTCTGTACAAACAATTTTGATAGACTATGTGGACATGCATCGAGTTTCAGGTACACTTGCCCCTTGACTGTTGTCCGTTGAACCAAAATCCAACCGAATATGAATTTCCCTTTAGCTGCTCGAGCGTTCAACTATGATCCTACATTTTTGGATAGGATACTTTTTAGTGACAAAACTTAAGTGAGCGGTCACGATATGGAGACGATACTCCAATCATCCTTGTGAGTTGAAAAAGGTAGTGCAAGACCGAAAAAAGAGAGACAAGTTCGGTCAAACATAAAAATCGCAGAACACCCATGATGTTTCCTTACTTCAAGCCACATACCAACGAAGCTGATTAGGATTCCTCAAATTTGTGAACTTAGCGTTCTTAAGTTTATTTTCAGGTATCATATAAGTCCAAGAAAACCTAATTCGGATGCATTGGGGCTAGTTATGACCAAAATCCGGTTTCTAATCTAACAGACCTCGTAAGTGCTAAAACGTGTAATTCTTGAAAATGTATATTTACGATCACTCTGGATTAGCAGGCGATCTTTATTTTCCGTCAGATATATTCCCTTATCAGATTAGACAGAGGGGAATCAAAACTCTTTAAGGTGAATCCAGGCTTGGAACTTTGCGATTTGGCCACCACGTCGCGCTGCTCAGAATAGCCGTATATATTTGCCAAAATAATAAAAACCGTAATACTTATTCAAGATTGGGGATCCAGGGGATATAGCAATATACTGAAGGAACACTCAGTAAAAAAATCTTCCCAAAAGTTGCAAAAATAAAGTCGTAACTACGGCGGAAAGTAATTCCCATTGCGGCAATGGGAGAGAGAGAGACAGAACATGAGGGATTCGGTTGCGCGATCGGCCGCCCCCGCTCACTGTGGTATTGGACCTGAAAAGCTGGCCAAAACTATTTATCACCAGATATCGCCGAGTTTTAAAAATATTTTACAATCAGTACTTCCTCTTAAGTGATAATATGCACAATTTAACCACCTAACACATCATATGACAATTTGCGGAGAGTTTAAAGAGGGTGCAAGAAGCCCTCCAAAAAGCCTTTAAAAGGACGCAATGTATCTAAATAAAGCGGTGCATTTAGACGAGTTTCTCCTTCACCTATGGTCTACTTTTCGAAATAAGGACTTTCTATTACCTCATTAATGGTTTTTTTTAAAACAGCGTAAGTCACTTCAAAATTTTTGACGAAACAGCCGATCTCTCACATTGAGGAGTAATTGTACATTTCTCAAAAAAATTAATATGAATCATTCTGGATATTAGATTTATGAGTTTTGAATCAAAATTAGTGCTAGTATGAAAGTGCCGGGACCTCCATATGATGATTTGAGGATAAATTATAAGATGTAAATGAGTTCTATCATAATAAGAACCATTGTAAGGACAGAACGCACCTGTGAAAATGATTCATTTTGATGGGTTCCTTCCTAACCCATGGTCCACATCTCAAAGTGAGGCACTTCGCTACGAAATTCGTAAGAAAACCACATATCTCACTTTTACGAGGCTTCAAATGTGCCTCACAGCGTAATTTCATGATGCCAGAGGGCCACTTTTAAAGCTCCATCCCCGTGGCCGCATGTACTCAAATTTGTCTCTCAAAGTAAATCATGGCATAAATATGTTTATACTCAAGGATAATGCACGAAAAGATTGTTAGATAACGGATTAAACACTTATGCAAGACTTTAAAGTGACCCTCCCATCCGCTTTCAAATTATTTTTTTTATCTCTCTTTCGAGGGCGTAGGGGCCAAAGAAACAGGTTGCGTGACCGAATATCACCCAATTGGTACTAAATGGGTCAGAGCTGTTGGAAAAATACAATTTCAGTCGTTAGTATCGACATAATTTTTCCCATTCATGTTTGTGAAAATCGCTCAAAAGTCCATCTTTAAAGTCAAAAATTTCAATTTCCTCAGTTTTCCTCAGTCTATCACCCCTGAATCCTGAAAATACCCACTTCGGACTATAACATCCCGCCTCAAACTGCGTGAGAACAGTTGAGAGAAAAAAGATATCGGCCTCTGAATTTCGAAAAAAACGTTTACTTTTACATCACTTTTCAACCTCCCGTGAAAATCACTAAAAAAAGAAATTTCGAAAATACTGTGGTTAGTTGTGTAGAATATACCCCTGAGAATGTGTTGCATATTGCCGAACTTCCCTCTTATGATCGCACAGTTGAAGTAAACTGATCGACGAGTAGCGCGCCGAAACATATCAAAATAATCGCTGAGAAATAGGTAACTTCGTGGTCTCTTCGCGGGAAATTGAGCCACTCGAAAAATGATACATACATGTCTACCAGGGTAAAAAACAGTGTAGATTTCGAATATCACATTGGTTTTCCACTACAAGAAAATTTAAAATTGAGGTTTTGGCCAGGTTTTTCGGTCAAATACCACAGTGTGACGCTGCTGAGCTGAAAGTTTCAGCCGTACTTTCTCTGCGCTTGTAATTCTAATTGCCAATATTTTTGGCTCAAAGAATGAAGCTAAAAATAATCTGTATCTTGTGGATCTGCTTTTTGTAATTTGAACAATATTATTTCAGTAATCGTTGAAGGAAAGTGAAATTCTCAGTGGTGACTGGTGGTGCTATCTCTTGTCTTGCATTATCCCTAATCGAACCCTGGATTCACCTTAAAAGAGAGCACCAATATTTAACTTTTTTGAAGTCAGGTGTGATAAGCTCCTGCGGATTCCCGTGTTTAAGACGTCTGGTCTCCCCCTCCCAGTCTAGCAGCCGAATAGCCTCTGGATTGGGGCGGAACTCCAAACGCTCCTCGTATCTCCCATGCATACGACAGACAAAGACTTTAATGCTTTCTATACCCAGTTTCGCTTGGACGTCTGCATTCCTTTTGTACCACTTGGCATTGACCATTTTCCTTAGCACTGTATTTTGTATAGTTTCTGTCTATCGTATGTTTGAGTTCATTGCACAGGCCCACAGCTGACAAGTGCATGCCCATATCAGTTTTTTCAAGGAGACGAATTTCATTTTCAAGACCTAATTTTGAGTGCTTTTCTATTAACCAACTCATTTGTTTACATTTTAATTTAATTTGCTCATTCTTTTTGAGAGCATGTTCTTCATATTTTAATTTAGAGTCTATTGTAAGACCGGGTTAACATGGTTGATGTGAACAGGGGATGGCTTGGCCATTAAAAACTAGTGGAATATGGGCATATTTCCTAAGGGTGAAAATCACCTTTTCGGACTGAGAGGTGTTTAATTTAGTCCCTTTGGCATCAGTCTATTCCTGAATGTCGTCCAGGCTCTCTTGGAGCTCGATAACTGTTTGCTCGTGGGTAGGTGGTAGCACTTGCGAACACTGAAGTATCATCCGCAAAAATTCCCATCCTTGAGTTTCCTTTGAGCGCCAAAGTAGCCGTAGCGTATCTAGGAATTCTATAAGGGGGAGGGGGGCATTCAAAAACGTGTCTGTATTTACATTAATTTGTGTACGTCCCTAATAATATTTATGTCTGCCATCCAAAAGTAAAAAAAAGGTACAATTAACGAGGCTGAGGGGGGGGCCCCCCCCCCCCTTGTCTACGCCACTGCTAAGTAGTATGAAAGCCAGACCTGTGGCAAAAGGAGATGGGAGCTGAAAAAGCTAAATATCTCAGCAACCCATGAGTCAAATTAAAAGAACTAAAACCTGTTTTGAAGCTGAGAGTATGACCAATAAAAGACTCCTTAGACTTGTGCTCTACCAACAATATTCGCGGAGAAAAACATACAGCGAAATTTACTTACTGCGAGACCTTCGTATTATAGTTTGGACCGTTCCACAAAACTGTATTCAGGAGTTTTGATACTGCAAACGTATGAAAAATAAGTAATGTTACATACCTCAATGTTTGTTTATTTTCAGGATATTTTCGTACCTAGATGTTGTATCACTATGCCGGTGTGCTCAAGTATCCAAAGCCTGGAATATTCTTGCCCTTGATGGGAGCAACTGGCAGCGAATTGATCTCTTTGATTTCCAAACGGATGTTGAGGTAAGAGTAAAAAAGTTTACAGCCTCTGGTTCAGTGCAGGGATCTTAACGATCTGACAGGTTAGGTAAGTCACAATAGGTATGCTAGTGAGAGGCTCACCGCTCATCTTGAAGTGACCGGGCCAATCTTGTGTTGATAAGTAGAGCTGATGCGCAGGCTACTCAGCCACTGCGCAACCTCATCGGCCACTGTGCAACCTTCTGCGCATAGCGGCAGCAGGAGCGGAGCATTTTGTAAATTCATTCATTTCACTTTTAGAACTCGATTGGAAATAAACCTGGGTTCTATATCCAAAATCTGATAAAAGCGAGCTCATATAGGGCCGATCACCTGTCGATAACCGCAAAAATCATAGATATCGGCCCGGTTCAACGCTCAAACGAACTATGACAAAAAACATAAATTTACATTGTTTAAATGGAAAAATTCGCAACTTTGCCATGTAATATAAAAAAACCTGGATTATATTTTGAAAATCTGAATAATGCAGGCTCATCTAGAGACAATTGCCCCTCGATAGCCGCAAAAATAATGAAAACTGGCTTGGTAGAATGCTGGAAGTGCTGGAACTAAGCGTTACCAGTTACTCAAAATTAGGAGGTCTCAGAGCTTACAGTATAGATTTTCTACCTGGAAATGTCTCCAAAATCACGATGAGCGCATTCCCATAGTTTGAAATGCAATCCTAACTTCACAGTCTGCGTTGGAATTCTGCTGTTTTTTTTAGTTTCCCGCTTTAAAGACAATACTACAGTACAGGTGAACATTTCGTTATAGGTGTCGTACTATCCGACCCCTGTGCACCAGGATACTACGTAATATTCAATACGGTCGACTCTAGTCTTCCCAAAGGCATTTGTGTGGATGAGATTCTAACCATTCGTTAACAATCCAGTGTGTTTACATTCACGATTTCTTCGCGTTGATAAAGATCCACTACGGTTGACCTTGTGCTCTGGATTGCGATTTGCACTTGGAAGCATCGGCTATGTTGAGAATTACTGTTGCAAAAAGGTTGAATGGAATGACTCCTATAACAAAATGTTCACTTGTGCGGCAGTATCGTTTTTGAAGGGGGGAGCTAAAAAAAATTTAAATTTCTTATGCTGATTGTAAAGTTAGGAGTGCATTTTAAACTTTGCCAATGCGTTCATCGTCATTTTTGAAACATTTATTGATAGAAATTACTCTTCTTTTTGCTCTAGTAAAAATTTGCTACAAGCCCTTACTCCCATCCAAAAATTAATGATGTAACCGCCGCGCTTCGTATGCTGTTAGCACAGCAGCTTCTCCCATGAGTGGGCGGACTTTGCTCCATACATAACTGTATTTTCAGAGAAGAATTTTTAGTTTGGTTTTAACATTTTCTGATTGCCCGCGTCACGCAAAGTGTTGAAGGGTTGAAGCGCAATACCTGCGCTTCAATTTTCAATAACATGCCTCACCCCTCAACCGCCGCCACTTTTTGTGACTCAAAAAATAATTTAGGGGTTTGGAGAACAAGGCGCATAAACGTAGTTTTGAAAAATTAAGTTATCAATAATTTCAAGTAGGTGAAGCTAGTCTGAATGCATATTCTGAACACATTTCGCTACAAAATTCCAATTTTTAAGCATCAAAAAGTCAGTTTGAATTCTCTCTCCGTCATTAGGATCCATGTAATTTCGATACTTCCATCTCTTATTTCTCATGATACTAAAGACTGCACTTATGCGCCTTGTCCTCCAAACGCCTTAATTGCTGTTTCTTCTTACAAGTAAACTGCGCATAAAAAAATCGCAATAATTTGCTGACACGATTGTGATGGTCTCTTGTTACACTACTTCAGATATTTGTCTGGTAAAAAGATGTAGAAAAGGAAGAAAAAAAAAACTTATTTAAAGGGTTATATATGTTGTAGGGCAACAATGACAATTATTTGCTCCTCGTGTTAGGTTTATGTGTAAGCATGTGAAAATTCTTTGTGAAGCATACTGATAGAATGTCCTTGACCTCGCTAATAGCCAATATTTTCGATGAATGAAGTTCAAGATAGGTAAAAAACTACGGTTTGCTGGAGAACGCTCTGGGCGAGATTAGTTTTTATTAAAAATCTTCTATAACTGAAGTAAAATCCTTGAGTAAAAAATCAAAACTTTTAGGGCCCTTTTGCAGAATTTTGAAATTGTAATAAGCTAGATACAACATTTTCAAATTTTTAAGGAAATGGCCGTGTTCATTTAGTCAAAATACGTAAAAAATTGTTTTAAAAAATTAAATTTTTCTACTCCTAAAGGCTGCCATTCTTATTTTAGGCGGTTTTTGATGAACTATTATTTTCAGTTTTCTAATGTTTTTTAAATTTGATCCGGGGTTCAAGAGCTTAAATTTTTGTCTTATGAAAGTAAGGGGCGTCCTTATTTTCTCTGAGCGCTACTAGTAGCGTGTCGACGGAATGAACCGTTGATCTGACGCACTTATACATTGAATCCTTATTGCAAAGCCCCACGCACCACTTTTTTTCCCGTCTCTCTCTAATTTGGTGTGTGGAATCTACGACCCGCGGATCCAGTGCACCAGTTTTCAAGGTGGGTGACAGCGTGGATCTCATGCACCATAGAGAGGTCGCACTGTACTCAAGTGATCTAAAAGCTCGGACCCTCCCTTTAGGGTGGAACTGATTCTTTTAAATCGACCAAACCAAATGTTAAACGGTCTTAAATAGTTCTATGTGATAAATAAAACACAGTAGCCAAAAGGATTTTGAAAAAAAAAAAAAAAATTCAACCCGGCCCGCAAAGATCCTAAAGATCGTTATTTTCCCGATTTTTTTTTAGCATACTAACCGTCTTTTTTATATTCTAGCTAGTGGCACGGATTTGACGCTAAATGTTCAAAAATGGGTACAAACCTAGCACATACCTTGTAAATTAAGGAAAAATTTTGGTTCTTCTCCCAAGTCACTCTTACTTCGCTCAGTAATGCCCGAACATTTCGCTCGGCAGCTCTAAAAATCGGAAATTCACATTTTTTGAGCAGCCTCTGATGGTTGTAAAAATCCGAAAAATATGTGGAAAGCAATTCCATACTAACACTATGAAGGGGCAAATTTAATAAAACTCTTAGGTCTCATATTTTTTGTCAAGTGACATCCTCAAGGGCGGAAAACCCATAAAAAATAGCTCCATTTTGACCTTTTTTTCGCTTTTGAAAAGTTATTGGACACCCTGTAATGACAATGAAGGTCCAAAAATTCGTTAATAATAAGCTCATAAGTCATACCATCTGTATGGAATAAAAAAATTTACTTGGTTTCTACATCTTACATTTTTCGTCCTGTGATGCCTGAAACTGTGGGGAAAACGTCAAAAATACCTTATTTAGGCCGATTTTTCGTTTTCAAATTGTTTTGAACACCTTGGAGTGGCAGTGGAGGTCCGAGACTTTGTGCAAAGTAGGTTCATACCCTCTGTAAGGAATACAATATTCTACTTGTTTCGTTTGTCTTACATTCCTTGTTGTACAGTGCATGCAATCACGTCGAAAACGCCGAAAATACATCAATTCGGCCAATTTCTCTTTCCGAATTTTTTTGCACTTAGCCTGTACTGACAGCATAGGGCCGAAATTAAGTAAGAAGCGAGTATAGAAAGAAAGAAATGGATAAATTTAGGTATTTTTGAAGATTTTGCTTCACTCTCTGGCTGCTGGCTACAACAATAAAAATTTATGAGTCTTATACGTTTATCATTCGATTCTAATGTAACTCGTATACTCACTTGTTGCAAATGTTTGATCCGCTAGTCTCGTAATATGGTGTCTCAAAATTTTCACACGCGAAAAATTGGCCAAATCGACGTATTTTTGACGTTTTGGACGTAATTGCAGGCACAGTACAACAAGAAATGTAAGACATACGAACCAAGTAGAATATCTTATCCCTTACAGAGGGTATGAACCTACTTTGCACAAATTCTCGGACCTCCTCTGCCACTCCAAGGTGTTCAAAACAATTTGGAAACGAAAAATCTGCCTAGTCAAGGTAGTTTTGACGTTTTCCCCACCGTTTCAGGCATTGCAGGACGAAGAATGTAAAATGTAGAAACCAAGTAAATTTTTTTATTCCATACAGATGGTATGAACTTATTTTCAACGAATTTTCAGACCTTCATTGTCATTACAGGGTGTCCAATAACTTTTCAAAAGCGAAGAAATGGTAAAAATGGAGCTATTTTTGACGGGTTTTCCGCCATTGCGGGCGTCGTTTTTCAAAATCCTTTTGGCTACCGTGTTATTTTTGTCACATAGAACTATTTAAGACCGTTTAACATTTGGTTTGGTCGATTTAAAAGAATAAGTTCCACCCTAGAGGGAGGGTCTGGACTTTTGGATCACTTGAGTACGGTGCGACCTCCCTATGGTGTTTGAGATCCACACTGTCACCCACCTCGAAAACTGGTGCACCGGATCCACAGGTCGTGGATTCCACACACCAAATCATAGAGAGACGGAAAAAAAGTGGTGCGTCGGGCTTTGCAATATGGATTCAATTCACAAATGCAACATTTGGTTTGGTCAATTCAAGAAAATAAGTCCCACCCTACCCTCCCTTTTAACTTTTGAACAATTGCACCTAAATCTTTTTAATTTTGATTAAGGTGCAATTGTTTGGTTGTGAGGAGGGGTCCAGTCATTCGGATCACTCTTTTTAAGGATCATTAACTCAATGTGAAAGGCATTTAACTTAATAATAATTTTTTTTCTTTCTCTCTAGGGACCAGTGATAGAGAACATATCACGTCGATGTGGAGGTTTTCTCCGGAGGTTAAGTTTGCATGGATGCCAGTCAATTGGTGATGGTTCCATGAGAACGTTAGCACATATGTGTGTGAACATAGAAGACCTCAATCTGAATGGATGTAAAAGAATTACGGACAGGTAAAGCTACTTTTGCCCACTTGAAAATAGTTGTTTTCATCAGTTCATGAATTTGCTAATGTTAAAAGGGGTACGTGCATAACGGGCCATTTGGGGCTCGGGGTGGATACTTTTGAGACTTGCCCTATTCATTCACCAAACAATTCCCCATCTTTTCCCAAAGTTTCAAGCCCCCCAAAAATTTTGGAGAGAAAAGCGGCTTTTTGAAAGCGGCAAAATTTTAGCGAATTTATTACTCGAAAACCACGAAGTTTTGGAAAACGCCGTTTAAACGAGCGTATTCAGCGTGACGAGAGCTTTTAGAAAATGTACAACATCATGAGGTTTTGTTAACTTCAGCTCGAGTTATTGCCTCACAGTATGTTTCAATACTTTTAATGCGGTCAACATACCACCCGCGATTTTTTTGCGGAAATGTCGACTAGAAGGCCTACTGATGGAGGAACAACAAACCGCGAAATCTGTAGTTTGGCCGTTTGTAAGAAAATGCGATTTTTCGCTTTTTTGGCGGGAATTTCGGGTCAAGGCGTTGAAAAAGTCAAGTTAGGCTGTTTTTGTGGCTTGCGAATGCATTTCCCATACATTTTCAGTCCATCAAGTGTCAGTAGATTGCTATTCGTGCACATTGCCCCAAATTCATATCCTTAAATCCACAACTTTTGGGTTTTTGGTGGGTTAGTCAAGGAGAAATGTGAAAAAAAGAGGGTTAACCCGGAACAAACTTCTTAACAAACTTTTCCTATGTAAACGTCGTCAGTAGGTCCTCTTGAACAACATAGATCCCGGAACACCCCCCCCCCATTGCCTACATTTCAAAATGGCGGCCATAATAAAGTCTCCGAGATTTTGACTTTTTTAAAATACGCATTCCGTGTCATGTGAGGTATCAATTCCTTTGTAATTTTGGTCGTAGATTTTAGATATGAAGTGAAAAAAGTCCCACGATTAAAGGGGGTACTCCAAACCCAAGATGGCAGCCAATTTTGAAAGACAAGAGGGTGTATTTTTAAAAAGTTTGCGTGATAAGGCAAGTGAGGTATCATTTCTTATGTAATTATGGTCGTTAATTTCAATTATGAAGTCATAAAAGCCCTCCAGTCAAAGGGATTGTTCCAAATGGCAAGATGGCGCCCAAATTTGAAAGGCAGGAGGGTGAATTTTCGAAATGTTTTCATGACATCCCTAGTAAAAGTGAATCAGCCTTTGTGAACCAGTCAGGCTATGTTTCATAAATTACCCTGAGTCAGACTAATTCAGGCTGACATCAGTCTGACTGACTTGGAAAACGCCGTTTAAACGAACGTATTCAGCGTGACTAGAGCTTTCAGGAAATGTATAACATCATAGGGTTTAGTCGACTTCAGCTCGAGTTATCACCTCTAAAGCGCCGGAACGCTCGAAAAAGACCCCTCTATTTTCACGTTCGGTCCGATTTAAAAAAAGCCATTTTTTTATTTAGGTGAAAAACTGATATGTTGTTTAGAACTCTCCGTAGCCCCTCTAGCTCTTTATCACATGCTGGGGAAATGTTTTGGTCACAAGTTATAAGAGTGGAAAGGAGCGAAGGTTGGGAAAATCGGCTATTTTAAACAGCGCGCGCGGCGTTGATCGGAACTAAAACGTCTCCTCCCACTCAGTTCGGCGAATCACACTCCTCTGCCGAATGTTGCCACAAGTCTCCTGATCCGTCGCCGCGCGCAATTTAAAATGGCCGATTTTCCCGACCTTCGCTCCTTTCCGCTCTTATAACTCGCGACCATCAAATTGATGTTTACTCTTGAGAAGGAAAGAGGCATGAAAAGTTGCAGAATCCCCAGCAACCATCCGCGTCGGTCACCGATCAACGATGCATCTTCTTTTCAACAACAATAACGCTACCCTTATATACTACTTATTTCCGTTGCGACCTCACCTGTCCCGATGGTCCAACGGGTAGAGCACTCGCCTGCTCTCGTGAGAATGCCGAGTTCGGTTCCCGTCACAGGATTTTTTTTTTTTTTTTTTTTCCAATCTGTAAAATCCCCCAATCATGATTCTTCGTCCAAATAAGTCACAAAACTCATTTTTACAACAATTAATTTAATACTGAAAATAGTTAGCTAAATCAGCGACTCTTACTGACTTAGCGGTTAGGTTAGGTTCGGTTAGGTTAGGTTAGGTTAGGTTAGGTTAGGTCATCAGCTCTTTAATAAATTAGTGGCATTCTGTTTAACTAATTTTTTTCAACAAAAAAAAAAATTAATGTTTCACTCAATTTAAATTTTTTTAATTTCCGACTTTAAAAATTACAATCCTACTGTTTTTTTCGAAATTCCCGCGCTAATCTACGAGATAGCATTCGAATAGTCAATGGTCATCGGTCGATTACCGGTGCGCTCGTGGCAACTTTTTAACGCCTCTTTCCTTCTCAAAGTGCTTAATCCAAAAAATTTCCCCAGCATGCGGTTAAAAGCTAGAGGGGCTACAGAGAGTCAGGAACAACATATCAGTTTTACATCAAATTAAGAAAATGGCTTTTTTTTAAATCGGCCCGAACGTGAAAAAATAAGGGGTCTGTTTTGAGCGTTCCGGCGCTTCAGAGGCAATAACTCGAGCTGAAGTTGACAAAACCCTATAAAAATTTACATTTTCTGAACGCTATCGTCACGCTAAAAATGCTCGTATAAACCGCGTTTTTTAAAACTTCTTGGTTTTCGAGTAATAAATTCGTGAAAATTTTGCCGGTTTTCAACTTTGACCCCCCACTGCGTCTTCCCAAAATTTTTGGGGGGCTTGAAACTTTGGGAAAAGATGGCAGTATTTGGTGAGTGAATAGGGCAGGTCTCAAAGGTATCCGCCCCTAGCCCCAAATGGCCCGTTTTGCACGGGCACGTTTGCACGTTTGCACGTTTGACTTCACCTGCTATTCACAATGGGGTAGTTGCATGAAAATTTTTTAATTCAGTTTCTAAAAGTGTGAGGTCTACTGAGTATTGAGGTATTTTTCTAAAAAATTTCCGGTCACCGGAACTTTGAGAAAAAGCTCCTCAAAGTCAAAAGCCATTTGAAACGGGTCTTTTCCCGCGCTTCGAAACTGGGACTTCGTGATGTTGCATGGTATACACCAAGGTTCACCCTATGTCAAACAAGTGTAAATAATACGGTCTTTTCAAAAATTCGCGAAAAATCGATTTTTTTGTCTAGACTTGATTTCTTTGCGTTAATGAGAATTTTAGGATTTGATTAATAATTTCAAAACAATTTTGAAAGCTCTCCATCATGATTTCTTAGTGAAAAAAGGAGTTGATATAGAGCTTTTCGCGTATCTTCTGCTGTTGCCGAGAGCCGTGCGGTCCGTCCGATTCGGGTGCGCCCGGACTGCTTCGGCAGTGTTCGTGCGTTGTAGCCAATCAGAGCTCGAGTTGGGCTCTCTAGGCGCTGGTGGCGCTGGTGACCAAAAATCGCAACAACACCATAATATAGACTTGTTCTTATCACTTTTCTGATCTCAAATAGCGCTGTGTTTGAGTTTATGATCAAGATACGGTTCTGAATAGCTTTTGGCATGATTTCCGACAGTATTTACCGAGGAAAAAAGATAATTTAGACACTTTAAATGGCACAACAGATCATATTTCGGTTTGGTAAACACACGGTCGAGATAGGAATGATGGCGGTGGGCGGGGCCTCGTATACCAACTGACGTCACAGCTAATGGAAATCGTTTATTTCTTACTGCGACTTTGCGACTTTTTATCGAGCTATTACGAATCTTTCGACTCAATTTCGGAACTTGCAAATGCGAAAAATGGTTTTTTCGCGAAAAATTCTGCCAGAAACAGTCATCCAATCTAAAATCCCAGCTGCATGCAACTACCCCATTAGTGGTATTCAGCTTAAAAATTAGTTTCAAGTTCAGCTGGAGGCAAATCATTCAGCTTCATAGTTTACTGTACCAGCAGACCAATTTTTTGGTTTGGCTTACCGAGTAATGCCAATCAGCAGTACTCTGATGCTGTGAAACAGAAACAGGATATTTTGCATGGCGAAATGAAGTGCAATTGGAAGTGGCACCTTAGAATGTTGAGATGTATGTCTCTCTTTTCACATGCTGACCCAAGAACTCATTTAGTATTTGCATCTGGCTCTGCGTATAAGTTGGATTTTTTGCTATTTTTTGGGTGTCATCATAGGAATCCCTCTTTCTTTTTTTTCGGAGATCCTAAAAAAGAGTTAGTGTGAGTTATGACCTGAAAGAAGAGTGAGTGTGGTTTCTGCTCATTCAGTGTTTAAGCAAGATCATGCCGCTGTTTTGCATATTGCGTTCATGAGTTTAAAAATTGAATGGAATTTGCATTTGTCTCCTATGGAACATTTAGCTATTCCAATGAATGAAAATTAAGCATCAGTTTGGCTTTGAAGACTTTATTCTGAATTGTGGACACCGCACTAAGAACAGCCTATAGGCGTATAGGTTGTCATTACGCCCATCTGCTTTTCGGATTCTACGTACCCTGGACTATGCTGTGGTAACGACAGAATATAGATAGGTAATTGCGAAAAACCTTTTTTTTCCGAGTTAAGTCAGGCCTCTGGATCGATGGGTGCAAGAACGACCTATAAACGGGCTTATAAACTTAAGGGCCTATAAGGTGCCTGTTACCCCTTTCTTTACTCACTATCGATATTCTTTCATTTTGCGTTAATCATGCAAGATTAAGATGATGTATACTTCATATTGCCACCAAAATGACTGTTGGGCGTAACAATGGCCTATAAACCGCTTTTTTAAATTAAATATATTAGAGTGTAAACCCAAAATGTATCGCAAAATCTACCCAGCATCCCTCAATAGAAGGGTTAGGTCACCCTAAAACACCAAAACATAGTACCTGCATGGAAAAGTCTGCGCAGTAAATCAAAAACAAAACTTTAAATGCGTTTTTCTCCAAAGGCGGTCTCCAGTTATAGGCTGTTCTCGGTGCGGTGTCCTCAATTTTGAACACTGCTAATGTTATGTCATGTCCCGGAAGCAGGATTAAGGCAAGTTAAGGAGGAGGAAATATTGAACAGTCCATGACACAGTCATAACCAAATGGTGCTGCTTAAACTTAAAAAATCCTTCAAGGACAACCAAAAAAAAAGAGAAAGAAAAAAAAAAAGAAAGCCATAAACCTTTTAGAAGGCACTATTTTAGTTAAAAGATGAAGACTCTCGAATTCCTATCAAGATTTAGTCTGTAAGTTGATATCTGTAATGTATGAATGAGAGTGTGAATGAAATGTGAAAGGAAGAGTGTTTAAAGTAATTGAAGTAGTAACTTAAGCTTTTAATTTTTCTGAAAAAAAGACAGAATTTTACAACTCTTCTGTTTTAGACAATTAATTTATTATCCAACGTGACTTTTTATTTTTAATCAATGTAGTTTAATTCATGTAGATATATAAAACACATACATATGCTTCTATTAGTTACGTTGTATCTAAATAAAATTGGTTAAAAAGAAAGTAAGAAAAAAAAACTTCTAAATAGACTGGATATAATTTTATTCGTCGGTTCAGGCAGTACAAAAAAAAAAAGTTAAAAATTTTAAAAATTCAACTTGAAAAATTTCAAACCGAAAAACATGATATTTTTGGGCATATTTGACCTGTGCCTTTTTTGCAATATTATCTGTTACCTTCTTTAATTTTAGTTACCGGCGCATTTATTTTTATGATTTGTTATTGATAAAAACGGAATCATTAAGTAAGTTTAATTTGCTTCTAATTTTCCAGTACTTGTCAATCTCTCAGTCAGAATTGTAATAAGCTTCAAAAATTGGATCTTACTTCATGTCCAGCAGTCACAGATCTATCATTGAAAGCTATATCAGATGGTTGTCCATGTTTAACTCATATAAATATTTCTTGGTGTGAAAACATCACTGAAAATGGTATGTTTCTTTTAACATATTTATTCATGGTTTTTAAAAATCTATTCCTGAGGAAAACTTACATTTGAAAAACTGTAAGACGTACCTCAGATATGCAAGCACTCAGCATTGGCCAGAGGAAACTTGGACTGTAAGAAATCATATTGGTAAAGATTGAGGGGTCAGAAGGATGTAATACTAGAAAAAGGTAAACTTCAAACTCTTGAATGAATTTGTTACGACATAATTTAGATTAAGAAGACTACAAATAACTTGATTTCTGGCTCAAATGAATAGAGACTATATTGAAGAACCGAGACTTGAACTTCTAAGAACCGATTTTTGAACTGAAGCCCATCGATATCACATAAAGCCAGCAGACTGTTGCTCAAGGTTGTAAAATACTTTTGGATCCCTCAGTTTGTTTCCCTTGTCAATCTTTTGTTTCAATCCCTTCATGACTCTAATTACCTCAACCGGCTGCCAGCCAAGTGAGGAAGAAACCAGGTAAGGCTGGTGTGAGATGTTGTGTTATGATTTCATAATCTCAAATGGGAATTCCAAAAATTTGCAGCCTAATGTTCGGTCTCACTAGTCTCAAACTTAAACAAGGTGTCCAGTAAATTTCTCACAAGTTTTAGTATGAGATATGTAGTCCAGAACTCAAATCCTCAGGGTTGATACTACCTCATTGATTTTACTAGGTCTATTAGATTAGAAACCGGATTTTGGTGATAACCAGCCCACTGTGCATCTGTATTAGGATCTCTTGAAATTCTCGAAAGCCAATAACGTATTGAAGAACACTACACTCCCAGAATCAGATTATCTTAATTAGTAAACATTTTGTAGTGGATTGAATGCAAGCAAGTCAGGAGTGTTTTGCGTTTTCTATGTATTTTTTCCGATGCATTAAGTGTGCAAAACTTGTGTAAATAAAACATTTTTCCAAGAAAATGTTGATTGCAGTTAGTTAAGAAGTAATTACTTACAAATCTGGCATCTGCATTCTCTCATCTCCTTCGAAATGAAGATCTCCCACTTGGACGCATGTCTGCCATTGCCGCTTCAATTTATTGAAACACATTTGAAGCTCCTTGGGATTGATTGCACGCATGTCTCTCAGAGAGTTTTCCTCAAAACCTACCCCTGTCTCAAATCGACGACCGCAGTCGTTAACTCAACTGCATAATTGATATAAGTCTCGAGATACGAAAAAAGTCTGCAGGTGCAAGGTTGTGTGAATATAAAATATTATGCAGCATGTTCATGCTGGTTAGTTGAAATTTTGAAAGTTTAAGTTTTTGGGCATACTTTTTCAAATCTTTTCACTGCAGCTATTGGCCCATTCAACAAATCAGTTTGAAATTAGAAATTAGCTATGGACATATTTCGACTGCTTTCTCCCTGTGAATCACTTTGTAAATGAACATAAGATGGGCATATAGCAAATAGAGGAAAAATTGGCCGATATTTTATTGGTTCTTGTGATCATTTGTGTGTAGAGACGCTGTGAAAATAACCATCACCCAGGAGGTACGCTTAATCCTCCCCCCCTCCACCGTATAGAAGGTGTGTTACCCGCGGGATTGCAAACTTCTGATCCCAAATTTTTTCATTTGGTCTCAAATGAAAGCTCTCGAAAGTTTGATAGATGCTGATTGCTGTTTTTACATAGTTAATCCTCAGCCCCCCCCCCCCACACAAAATGTCGGCATCTCCTCACCCTCTTAAAGGGAGTATGAATCCTTTTTAGCGATATTTCGAACATTACCGATTCCAAAGGTTTTTATTTGGTGTCAACTGAGAGCTCTTAAAATTTGGACAAGATTAAATGACCACTGTGAATATCAGAACTCCTTACTACTCCCCCCCCTTCCAGATAGAAAATTGAAGGCAAATTTTTTTTAACAGGCCAATAATAGTTAACTTTGACCATTTCTGCCTCAGGTGTTGTTGGTCTCCCCCGATCATTTGGGTGTTTTGGGCAAAAAAAAGCCCACCCCCAGAGTTCTCCACAGTGGCTGTGTAAATAAAGTGTGCAAAGGGGTTAACAATCCAGCATCAACTGAGGTGTCAATTTCTATTCATATCCAGATTTTGGTTCATTCAAAATTTTGGCACATATTAGTATCCTTCCATTTTCTCGAGTCATTGGACAGTAAGTGTGCAAAAGTGAGTAAAAAAAAGAACAAAAAATCCCAAAAAACACCTTCTAAGAGGGTACTGCCCCTCCAAACCGAATTTCCTGTGCGAATCAAAAGCAGACACAAACTGCTCAAACACTAGAAAAGGGATGAGCTATACTACAATTAAGCTTGTCAAAACTTTAATTTTCTCTTTTTAAATGGGCAATGCAGTGCAAAAAAATATCTAATTTGAAATGAGGGTTAAGGTATGACATTATGCCATATGAGAAACGTCCAAATTTGGCTATTTTCCCTTTCTGTAAATCTTGTGCCATTGTTTTGAGGGGGAAGAGGGGGGCTGCAATTAACAGTGATTATCTAAAAGCTTTCGGTCAATATCCACTGAAAGACTATTGGATCAGTGCTTTTTGAGGTATCCGTAAAATTAGTTATACGCCCTATCAGAGGTTACTGCCACTATTTTTTTTGGGGGGAGGGGGAGGTTGGTCTTAGCTAAGAAAATATACATAATTGCTCAACATAATTTCGAAGGCTTTCATTTGACACCATACCACACTACTTTTGAGTCTGTAGTTTTCAAAATAGCGCTGATAACAAGTTATACTGGGTGATCCAGAGCACCCGTCCAAAATCTTTTCTTTTTCTTGGGATCGACCGAGAATTGAGCTTCAGGATTATAATATCGGGGGTAAATCGAAAGAATTCAATGAAAATACTTTCAACCACCCCTCCCCTCAAAAAACCTCATGGGGGAGGGAGGTTAAGGGAGGTACCCTTCTTTCCTTGCAAATTTCAAATTGAAAGGGTATGTTTTGACTTCGGATACGAATTGTAAGGACAGAAACAAGAACTTTGGTTTTATGCTCTTTTCCCTAAACCCCTAGTTTTTGGAGTTATGGAGCATTTTGAGGCATTTTTTGGGCAACTTTCAATTGGACATTGTAGGTGTCAAAATTATCAGATTTTCAAAATCTAAAAGTTTCCCAAGAGAAGTGAGAAATACTCTTTGGTTGATGTGGGCCACTACACCCTGAAAATGTTGAGGCTTTGGAGGGCCTTAAGTTGAAAGTTTCAAATGGCAAGGGTCTGTTTTGACTTTAGATATGGAGTGTACGTGAAAAACTACATATTATTGATACAGCATATGGCCTATTTGTCCCAAACTATCCTAGGACCCCATTTCCTCACAAGGAGCCGTGTATTTTTGGAGGGAAAAGGGGCAAAAAAAATTTGGGGATAATAGGCCATATGCCGTATCAATTTTATGTAGCTTTCCGCGGAGAATCCAAATCTGAGGTCAAGTCATACTCTTGCTATTCGAAACTTTCGACTTCAGGTCCTCCGAAGTCCCAAAATTCTTGGGGTGTTGTGACTCCTATAATTTTATGGTCAACAGGGGTCATGGTAAATCAGTAGAAAGTTATTGATCACTTCTCTAAAGAGCCTTTTAGACTTTAAAAATCTGATAATTTTGATGCCTTCAGGGTTTGCCCAAAAAATGCCCCATAATGCTCGGTAACTCCAATGAACAGGGGCTCAGGGAAAAAGCGCATGGAAGCAAATGTTCTTATTTCTGGTTGTACAATTCGAATCCGAAGTCAATACAAACCCTTCCAATTTTAAATTTGCGAGAAACGGGGAGTCGCCCTTTTAAACTCACTTCCCCACCCCAAAAGGGGGTTCTGGGGGGCTGAAAATATTTTTATTGAATTCTTTAGGGTTGATTTACCCCTATATATTTTAGAATGAGAAACAACTTAATCAGCCAAAATACACATAATAAAAGAACAACTTAATTTGGGGAAAAGGCTGCAAATAAAGAACAAAGAATAAACAAAACCTGGAACGTTTCAAAATAGTTACAATTTCATTTTCAACCGGAAAATAAATTAAAAATAAAAACGAGCCGTCGCTACGCTGCTATATGGAAATTTTATCGCCAGCCCCCTCTGGGAGGAAAATCTGGTGATAAGAGGCACAGAGACCATCAACATCAGCGCGGTAATTACAAAGTTTGTTCCTGCGCTTCAAGATGTTCATCATTTTGAGGAGAAGACGCGGAAAATAACGCTTTTCGGAGGCTAAAAGAACCCCGCACAGAGCATGGGCTCAGCGGCTCTCTATGAAAGTCGATGAAACTTTAATAGATTGATATAAAGTTCATAATTCAGGGAGCGCCAAAAAATTAGCTCACTTTTGCGAGTAGAAGCCGAGATATTCGCGATTGAACCCGGACTATTTTCGGTGCGGCGGAGGTAAATTCTCCGTGTCGTCTTACCTTGCTTGAGCACTTCGGCCAGGAAACCCCCTCTCCCCACGGTAGGTAACTACGATGCCGCATTGTTAACACTCACTCCTTTCCTTAGGACGCTCCGTTCGGGCTGTGCGATATGAAGTTCCCTGCTTCTCGCACCTCTCCCTTGCCGGCGCCGCCGGCCGGTTTAATCTGAAATGTAGTAGCTGAGACAGAACGGACAGATGCGGGGAGAGGGAGGGAGTACGGCATTCGCACCGGCCGAGCGCATAAGCAAGCACCTATCTACACGTGAGTGACGTGAGGTCTGATTGAGAACGCCGAACGAGAGGAAAGGGGACTCGGAATGCTGCGGGATGATAGAAAATAGTCCGGATTCAATTGCGAATATCTCGGCTTCTACTCGCTAAAATGAGCTAATTTTTTGGCTTTCCTTAATTATGAACTTTATATCAATCTATTAAAGTTTCATCGATTTTCATAGAGAGCCGCTGAGCCCATGCTTTGTGCGGGGTTCTTTTAGCCCCCCCGAAGTCAAAGCGATGCACCTCTGCATCCTGATGGTGCTGCAAGGCAGTCTTCTCTCCTTTCCCTTATCGATGCTGAGAAAGCCTCTTTTTCAGTACCTGGGATGTCTGTCCTACGCACCCGACTTCACGATCCTGACACTGTAAGTAGTAAACGACGCCAGCCACCAAGTCATTAGTTCTTTTTGATTTCAAATTGGACATTAAAAAACCGAGATCGTTAAATTTGGTATGCACAACCGAAAATTCATACTGCTTTAAAAAAGAGGGGTATGCAAAGCGGCCAAAAAGTGACCCTGCAGGGATTGTACGAAACTTTGTGGGATGATTGTCATCATGATGTACAGCGATTTAAAAATTCGGCAACACGCCCGACGCCCGATTTTGACGCTCGTTTAAGTACGTTTCGCGACTTTGTGTTGAAGAAAAACGACTAGACAAAACAAAATTCGTCAAAGTTCATGTTTTACGCTTTTTTGAAACTTTCACGTCATTTTTAGAAATTCAAGTAACGGCGGTGTTGCCGGTTTTCAAAGAAAACCACCGCTGCGATCACAATTGAAAGTAGTTCTCATTTAATCACATCTAGCTACATTGTTTACCCTAAACTGACCATTTGCTACATGATGTTAACAACGTTGTCTAATTTCCGTCGGAATTCGCGTAGAGTTGGGGTTGCCAGTTTTCAAGGAAACCGCCGCCGCAATCCCAAAAAAATGTATCACTCATTTTTTATCATTCACTCATCAGCCTTATTCTGCAGTTGGAATTGTCGATTTATCGAATCGATGGTTTCTTCTATCTCTTTGCAACGGCACTGGTGCCTGACAATAACGAGATATCGAATTTTAAAGCTACCGAATCACTTGAGCGGTCTGATGAGTAGTTCTTAGGACCTAGATCCATTGATCTTGATCTCGATACAATATGGATATCTCGTTATTGTCGGGCACCAGTGCCGTTGCAAAGTGGCCAAAACTTGGCAACAGTGGACTCAAATAAAATTTTCTTTTGCATACGTCTATAGAGCAAAATTTTCTGCATTTCTTGGTATAAATACGAGCTCTGTGACTGCATTTTTGCGAAAGTTGTGGATGTTTGAAGGTTACGACTTTAAAAAATGGCAACGCTGTTTCCCTGCGGTTTTCGCCGAAAAGCAGCCAGATGTAGGCACAAAGTGACCTATACAATCATCCCACAAAGTTTCGTACAATCCCCGCAGGGTCACTTTTTGGCCGTTTCGCATAACCCTCTTTGCTAAGTATATTATTTATAAGTATATATATTATAAGTATATATTTTAGTTTTGAAGCTCAATTTTTGGCTGTTTTCGGGAAAAAGATAGCGGACAGGTGATCTTGAACACCCGGTATATGTCCTTTTGGAACAAAACCTAAAAAAACCTAAATTAATTTCCAGCAGAATTTTAAGAACTTTCATTTGATACCGAATGTGATACTTTTGTATCAGTAGTAGTTTTCGAGGGGGTTATACGTCCTTCTTGGGGCAAAGAAGGGGAAAATAAGCATCCCTGTTAGGACAGGTTTTTTTTTCACAGCCTCTCCGCACGCACATGACAACAAAAAACTGATAGTAATTTGGCCGGATATAATTCTGATTTTAGATTATACTGATATTATACCGGGTGTCCGTAAAGTAACTGAAAAATGGGTATAATTTTTGAACAAAAAAAGATAGAAGGTCGCGGTTTGTGGCATTCTTCATCATTCAAAAGGGGAAATTTTTCGATGGGGGGTTTTTCCTGGTGGACCCCCCTGGGGGGGCCCCAGGGGGGGGCAACTTCAAAAATTCAAATGGCAACCTCCATTTTTTTAGACATGGTTAAAAAGAACTTAAAAAGACAAGAAAAATGGCGCAAATAAAATTAAAATCTGTTCTTTCGTTCAAAAGTTACAGCCAGTCAAAATTTTAAATTGACCACTTTTCAAAAAATCGCCGATGAGCTCCAAATTATCGAAAAAACAAAAACAAACCAGGAATGAAAAGTTTGAAAAGTGCTTTTTAGGAAGAGGAAAAACAACTCACGTTGTCACAAGTCTGGATGGCATTGTTTCAAAATAAAATTTCGGAAAATTCAACATGGCGGGAAATTTGAGGAAACGCAAAAAATGAAAATTCCAGAAACTGTTATCTTTCAAATACCCTCTAGTTTAAGGAAATCAAAGGTATCAACTTTTATTCCTTTATTTGGCCAAGTAAGAGCAATAATTTGCTGACTTTAAAATTGTCAAGCAGGGCGCCTTCAATCGTTGGAGCATGCAACATCACAGGATTAAGTGTGCTGTCAAAAAATGAAGCCGATGTGAAAAAGCGCTCCTCCTTTGGGATGCGTCAGAAATTTTCAAGGTCCTCCTCCTCAAATTTAAAGATAAAAAAGAAGAAAAGTAAAATTTAGCAATTTTTACCCACAAACTTGGCAAGCCAAAAAAACATGATTTATCCTGATAGGGTAGGGGCGGTTGACATTTTTAACATTTCTCTCTCTGAAAATTAAAAATCCAAGAATAATTTTAATTCTCTAACTCCTGGCACTCCAAGTTGGCAAGGAGGATATCTGCTACGCTTCCAATTCTAAAAACGCCGTTCTACTCTTGATTATTATCTGAATTGAGATTATCTTATTGACAGTCTCAAAATCACGATTTGAGGCACCGATCTTTTAGGTAACATCTGATGCACTATCTGATCGATGACACTATTTACGAAGCTAAAATCAGTATGCTAAGTTCCCTTGATCATACTGCGTTCTGATTTAGTTTGCAATAATCAGAGTATTCTCGATTTACAGTAAAACTACTGTTTCCATTTTCCACCGGATTTTTGTTTGTTTTAAACTTGGTATCTAGTCATTTGACAAATGAAGTTGTGAAATATTAATTGGTTTTATTTGATAGTGCTTAATTTTGCTGTTGTGCTAGCTTTGCTTGTGCTTACTATTGCGTGCTTCATTAACTATTCATTTATTTTTTTGAAATGAAATTAACACAGGAGCTGCGTGTGCAATTAATATTAATGTACGGAGCCACGAATTCTGTGTGAACGCTTAATCCTGTGATGTCGCATACTCCAACGATTGAAGGCGCCCCGCTTGACAACTTTCAAGTCAGCAAATTATTGCTCTTACTTGGCCAAATAAAGGATTAAAAGTTGATACCTTTGATTTCCTTAAACTAGAGGGTATTTGAAAGATAACAGTTTCTGGAATTTTCATTTTTTGCGTTTCCTCAAATTTCCCGCCATGTTGAATTTTCCGAAATTTTATTTTGAAACAATGCCATCCAGACTTGTGACAACGTGAGTTGTTTTTCCTCTTCCTAAAAAGCACTTTTCAAACTTTTCATTCCTGGTTTGTTTTTGTTTTTTCGATAATTTGGAGCTCATCGGCGATTTTTTGAAAAGTGGTCAATTTAAAATTTTGACTGGCTGTAACTTTTGAACGAAAGAACAGATTTTAATTTTATTTGCGCCATTTTTCTTGTCTTTTTAAGTTCTTTTTAACCATGTCTAAAAAAATGGGGGTTGCCATTTGAATTTTTGAAGTTGCCCCCCCTGGGGCCCTCCAGGGGGGTCCACCAGGAAAAACCCCCCATCGAAAAATTTCCCCTTTTGAATGATGAAGAATGCCTCAAACCGCGACCTTGTATCTTTTTTTCTTCAAAAATTATACCCATTTTTCAGTTACTTTACGAACACCTGGTATATAACCCATAGTATTTTTCCGCCTAATTTTCCTCAAATGCCTGAACTTCAAATACTGTAAGCACTAAGGCTATGGATTATTTCAGTTTCTGGTTCCTTTAAAACTATGCCTGAAAACTTCTGCTTCGGATGGATCTCACTTTGTTTTACCAATCAAAAAGTAATCCAAATACAAAGATGAAACCATATGCAGAGAAATCTTATCATCATCACACAATTTTGTTATTAAAGGAACTCTTGCATTATGTTAGTATGTATTTTCAATTTTTCTCACAGGTATTGTGGATCGTTTCTCTCTGTTACAGGTGTTGAAGCGCTGTCTCGCGGTTGTTCGAAACTGAAAAGCTTTATTTCAAAAGGGTGTGCTCAATTAACAAACAAAGCTGTGTCATGTCTGGCGCAATTTTGTCCTAACCTAGAAGTAATCAATCTGCATGGGTGTTCAAATTTAGAAGACGAAGCAGTTGTAAACTTAGCTGTCCATTGTGCCAATTTGCATTATCTATGTTTGTCTGGCTGTCAAAAACTCACAGATAATTCCCTCATCATCCTTGCTCATCAGTGTCCACAAATCAATACATTAGAAGTGGCACGCTGTTCCCAATTCACCGACGCCGGGTTTCAAGAGCTTGCACGCCATTGCCGTCTCCTAGAGAAAATGGATTTGGAAGAGTGTGTTCTCATTACAGATGCAACCCTCATTCACCTTGCAATGGGGTGCCCAAGATTAGAGAAATTAGTGAGCAAAATTATTTTTGACCTTTAATGTAGTTGGTCGGTGTATCTCTTTCATTAATTTTAAGTCAGCAGACTTACAATTATTATTCGTTACCATTACTTTTATCCGAAGTTTCTGCCTCTTTTCTCCATGACATCTGTCATTGTGTTTCAAAATTAGCCTAAGCCCAGAGAGAAATAGGACCTAACAAGGTGAGAAAAAAATCGGAAACGATTATAGGTGTATAAAACTCCATTATGCGGAAATAACTTTATTTATACTACTAAAAATATCCTCAACACTACTATTGCTAATACAATTCTATTACTTACAAGAAAAAGAATATTTACACTTTCAAGTAAAGAGTAGGATACAAAATGCAGTCTTGCTAGCTAATGAGTAAAAAAAAATATTATGTCTGAGGGAGTGACTTTGAGAAGGGGATTATTTTCATTCCCACACAGTTCATTTCAGCATTGATACGCTCAATTGTAGTGGGAATAGAACAATGTTAGAAAGTAAATTCAGACAACTGGTATGGAAGGGCAAATTCTACTTGATTCTTGAATATCTCATCGTTTGTCAGTGATGACTGTCTATATCTACAGGGTGATTCAAAAGTCCCTTCCACCCCCTCTAACTTTTTGCCTAATTAAGGTAAAGATTTGAAACGTGGGGGATGTCCCTAGGTCCAAGGAACCTACTTTTTGACCCCCCTAAAATTTTACAGGGGGCCCCCTTGGGGGGGGGGGCAACGGACCCCAACTCTTAATTTTCAAATGGGAAGACCCCCTTTGTGATAGCTTGTTCGAAAGAGCAGAAAAAAAGAAAACTTTTCGCGCATACCCGAAGTCAACATCTCAAACCATTTCAAAATGGCGGCCGGTTAAAGTTCAAAATGGCAGAAAATTCACACGGGTTATTTGTCGATGGATTTTCGCGAAAATCGGTATCTCAAGGTATTTCGACACGAGAAAAACGAATTTGACGTTAGATTTTCCAAAAAACCGAAATTTCCAAAATGGTCGCCGGTGAAAATTCAAAATGGCCGAAAATTGCCACCTCGGTTTTTTGCTGATGGATTTGCTTAAAACTTGGGATTTTGGGGTATTTTGGCATAAGATTAACATATGTGAACTTAGATTTCTAAAAAAAACCAATTTTTGGTCATTTTGAATTTTCATCGGCGGCCATTTTGGCAATTTTGGTTTTTTTTTTAAAAATCTAACGTCAAATTCGTTTTTCTCGTGCCGAAATACCTCTAAATACCGATGTTCGCGAAAATCCATCGACAAATAACCCGTGTGAATTTTCTGCCATTTTGAACTTTAACCGGCCGCCATTTTGAAACGGTTTGAAATGTTGACTTCGGGTATAAGTGAAAAGTTTTCTTTTTTTCTGCTCTTTCGAACGAGCTATCACAAAGGGGGTCTTTCCATTTGAAAATTAAAAGTTGGGGTCCGTTCCCCCCCCCCCCCCAGGGGGCCCCATGTAAAATTTTAGGTGGGTCAAAAAGTAGCTTCCTTTGACCTAGGAACATCCCCCACGTTTCAAATCTTTACCTTAATTAGGCAAAAAGTTAGAGGGGGTGGAAGGGACTTTTGGATCACCCTGTATAAACTGTTGGAAGTAGGTATCTTAATTTACGCCGCTTTATTGATTTAAAAAAGAATCGATGTGCCCCCTCCCCCCTGCCCCCTCCCCTCTGCCCCCTCCCCCTAGAGGTCACATAGATGTGCTCTCTAAACAAATGCCTCTTGTTTTCATTTTGCTGTCCATTCTTGCGCATAATGCTACTTCAAGAAAGTGACCGATCTCAGCAGGGAAGGGTGTACTCTGGGAGTTTCCTTCCTCCAGAAGGGGGAGGGGGTGTTTCGACTGCCCCTCAAATGAAAAATATATGCTCTATCATTTTAGTAAGAAACAATTTTATGAATTCCTCCCCCCCCTCTCCTCAGAAACATAATATTCATGATAAAAGAGAAATAAACGCGAAAAATGCACTTTGTAAGGCGACTTTCAGGGCTAATCAGTGATACGCTCACCCTAATATAGGTACTTAAATTAGGGGGGAGGGGACAGGCTAATTAGCTGTCGAAGTTCACCCCTTCCCTTAAAAAGCTTACTCAAAACGTGAAGTGAAGGCGGAAAACTCGCAGGTCTTAGCTCATTTCAAAAGAATTATATCCATAAACCGGTTGGATTCATCAACAAAACCCACCACCCAACTGGAGGTGGCTGTGCATTGCAATCAACTCCAACTCCTCATCATATCAATTATTGTTTTAAAATTTACGTTTTATGTTTCAAAATTTCGTTCTGAAATTTATTAATCGTTTTTGGAGGACCATTAGTTTGTCGTGTCTCAGGCTCCGGGCTATCAAAAATAACCCTCCAGCTAGCCCAGCAATGCGTGGGAGGAAAAACCCGGGCACGCAAAAAAAGAAATACTAAGAAAACTCCTAAGAGGCAAAAATATGGCTATAGCAAACTCTAGGTTTGCGTCTTCCCAATGCAACCTGCAGCTGCGCAGCCGAAGTGGCCAGGCAGGGATCCCTGCCTGGCCACCTCGGCTGCGCGGCCTCTTAGGAGTTTTCTTAGTATTATTTTTTTGCGTCCCCGGGTTTTTCCTCCCTTGCATTGCGGAGCTAGCTGGGGGGTTATTTTTGATAGCCCGGAGCCCGAGGCACGACAATGGCGCCCAATGTGGGGCACGAGTGGAGGTCAACTCATCTCCGAAGGTGGCGTGTGCAAAAGAGGAAAAAAGGACTGAAATGCCTTATCACTAGAGATGGTCCGGCTTGTGAGAAAGTGCAACGCGGAGTTGCCATAGCTGACAGCTTGTGGCACAACATAGTTGTTTGGAACTTCTGTCTTGCCCAACTTTATTTCATTTAAAGCGTATTTTGAGAAAATATTTAACATCTTTAAAACCCAAATTACAATATTTACTTTTTCGAAGGGAAATTTCAGTAAAATCTTAAAAATTTGTTTTGATTAAAGAATCAAAACAGAGAATTTCAACTTTTCAGTCGTCGCCTTCCTCAAGATCAGCGAAGATTTTGTCCTCCAAATGATCTTACTCAGGTGACTCACCAGCATCTTTATCTCTTAGGACTCATCATTGCATTCTAAAAGGTCAATAAAAATTTGTGGCATTATTTCTGCGGAGACCCGGTAGAAACCTAACGCTCTGTTAATGAACAATTTCCTCCCGTGCTCCTCTGGTAGTGATACTTCAGGTGACCCTATGTGAGCATTGTTCCAAATCGCAAGTATTGGTAATTCACCTGTTTTATATGGTTCCTCAGTGAACATCTATAAGGCAGTAGCAAGCTCAAATCCATGCTACAGTTGCTGTTGCACCTTATTTTGTTGAGAAAAGCTCGAACCATAGTTGATTAATATCGGATTTTTTTCTAAGAAGAATATGCAAATTCCTCTAGAAAAGCGAGTAGATAGTTCAATTCTGTTGTAGATTGATCAAGCAATTTAAAACTTGTAACAAACTGTAGGTTTTTCTCAAGTTTTGACATTACAGATTTTTGCCATGCACCAAGGAAAAACTGGTTGTGTCACAACTAGAAGACGCATGTAAATTAAGTAAAGCACCCCTAACTTATTTGCAATAGAGCTAAAATTATTGACTCCATAATGGTTGCAACTGTCTGTTTCGAAAAGTACAGTTTTTTCAAAGTCGTCTGCGTATCGAAAAAGGAGCACAAATACCTCCATTGACGATTAGAGACAAGATTATCAAGACAAGATTGTTCCTCTTGAAACTTTTTTATGCTTGGCTGGGGGGTCATGATAGGCAGTGTTCGAAACTTACAGGTGCCAACGCGCCAAATGCGCCTAAAAAATCGGCCATGGCGCCTAAAAAATGAAGGCTCTGCGCCAACGGGGCCACTAAAAATTGCCCCCTTAAAATCTGGATTTTTACAGGAAGCCACATAAAGAAAGGAAAACAATTCTATTTAAATTTTAAAAAACTCAGAATTGTCAGCACTACAAGTGAAAGCTTTTTTTATTACTAATGATATTAAGATGCGCAGCATTTAATGTAGTAACTATTATAATAATAAGATGATCATCAAACTTTTATTCTTCACGATTTCATTCTTAGTGCTTTTGTCTTCCCCAAGTTACAACTACTCACTAATTCTGTTACGAAAATATCTTGCGTCTAACTTTTCGCTGAATGCGCCGTAATGTATAGGCAAAAAGTAAATTCGGCCCCCAAATAATCTTCAATGGCGGCTGAAAATCGGGCTCGATGCGCCACATGGCTTCTAAAACTCGAAGGTGAGTTTCGAACACTGATGATAGGACCCTTCAACTTTTCCCTTTCCGTTTACAATATATTAGGGTGAGCGTATCAATGATAAGCCCGAAACTTGCCTTGTAAAGTTCATTTTTTGCGTTTACTTCAATCTTTTCATGATAATTTTTTTTTGGGAGGGGAGGAGAAGGAGTACCCCCTCCCCCTGCCACCTCCCCCGAATGTTCACATAGATGTGCTCGCCAAACAAACGCTTCTTGTTTTCATTTTGCCGACCATTTTTGCGCATTACACTACTTCAAGAAAGCGGCCAATCTCAGCAGGGTGGGTGAGTACTCTGGGAGTTCCCCCCCCCCCCCCCCCAGGAGGGGTTAAGCCGTCCCTCGAATTAAAAATGTATGTTCTATCATTTTAAGAACAAACAATTCATGATAGTACCAACCACCTCCGCTTTATTGGCGAGAAATCGCGGCAAAACGGTCGTTCGCGCGTAAAGTTGAGATATTTTGACCTTTCAAACCTCTCTATTTTGAAATTGCGGTGGGTCATGGCCAAAGTCAGTTACATCTCTCCGGAACGAAATCTTACGACCTTTCAGATTGGTTCTTTGGAGGCTTGCTATGATATCAAGCCTTCTAGAGAAAAATCGAAAAATTTGTGGGGGCAGCTGGAATTTGGAGGATCTTGGGAGGGGGGGGGGCTTACTCCCAAAAATTCTTACTCAAAAAACTTTCAAAATTCCCACGGGGGGNGGGGGGGGGAGGTTACTCTTTGCTAACCTACAGTCTAGTTATTCTTTACTCATTCCACGGAAAACCATGTCATAATTCTCTTCACTCTCAGATCCGTGGCCTTTTCTCTTGGTTTCTGCTAGCACTGTTATGCTTACTCCGTGTTTTTTTATCTTCGACACAACCTCTGTCGATTTTGTCGATATCCCTTGGGCATTCCAAATTCAAAAATCAGTGTTCTTTCAGTTTCTTTCCATGGTTACCAAGGCATATTTGGTTAGATATTTAACTTTGTATTTTTCTTCCGAGGATTGGGGAGTCGGCCCGATGCCCTAACCCCCAACCTGGAGGATTAGGGTACGATTTCGGAGTTGCCTCTATGAGACAGGTTGCGTTTATCATAGCTGAGAGCCCTGTCTACCCACCCTCTTTAAGGTAGGGGCTACCAGCTGGGGTTTGCAGGATTGCTGGACCTGTGACAGTACAGTCCCCAATACGGTTATTATTTTTCAGTAACATTCCTCAAGTTTCCTGGCAACTTGATTTAAAAAGCACAATTCTCCCAAGACTGGGGCGACCCTTCATAGCGGTGGTCATACCTATGTAAGTGGGTGCAAGTAAGTGATTTTATCAGAAAATTGCATTGCTCTTGCAGTATCACCGTACGTTACTTCTTATGGTGCATAAGAAAAAGAAACTGTCAATAATTTTTTCAATGAACTATTTTTGTAGTAATTTTTCATTCTTGCATTTTTGAAAAGTGGAGAGTGCACTTCGTTTGCAGGAATTTCCCAAAGTTTTTTTGAACAAGATTAGACCACAATAAACGAGTTCATAATGGCGTGATGGGGGCTTCCACTCAAACGCGTATCGGCGAGAGAGGCAAGACGGCGTCCAAGAGATAGTTCTGGTCAAAGGTTTGCTGCCTCGTCCGCATGACCCTCTTGCCATGATCCATGCTTCGTGCGAGCGTGCGTTGGTAAGGAGTGTCGGAGTATGAATTGTGGCAAGAGGGCCATGCGGACGAGACAGCAAACCTTTGACCGGACCTTCCTCTTGGACGCCATTTTGCCTCTCTCGCCGATACGCGTTTAAATGAAAGCCTAAATCACGCCATTTTCAACTCTTTTTTCGTGGCCTAATATTGTTAAAAAAAATTCGGGGAAATTCCTTTGAACGATGTGCACTCTCCATTTGTTAAAAATTCAAGAATTGAAAATTACTTAACAAGCTCATTTTTTTTCGAAACTGCTGCACCATGAACAGCTTTGTCGCATATTATGGGCAAGCTTCCTTCAAGTTTAAAAAATGGAGGACACTCTACCCTTGGTAGGACGTACCCAGGTACCCCATGTCTTTTTGAGACATGGAAGTGATCCTAATTATCCATATCCCTCGAGTGTAAGACTTGCCGTTGCTTACCGAAAGTGGACCATAATGAGAAGAGACACATGAATATTTTTTTATCTTAATGCTAGGCAACTCTTTATGACATGGTGATGAAATTTAGGTACTGACTGAAAGAGATGAATTTTAATTTTCAGAGTCTTTCACATTGTGAATTAATTACTGATGATGGAATTCGACACTTAACAGTATCACCATGTGCTGCTGAGCACTTGACAGTTTTAGAGTTGGATAATTGTCCCTTAATCTCAGATTTGTCACTGCAGCACCTTTATGTGTGTCACAATCTTCAACGCATCGAGCTTTATGACTGTCAGTTAATCACAAGGCATGCCATTCGCAGACTAAGGGTAAGTGATTATTTGATAAAATAAAAGCAGTTACTTACATGTTAAGCGGCGCCACAGCCTCTCATTGTGTACCATGGCCTTCTTGAAAATCCCCTGCTGTAACAGTTTATCTTTCGCCTTCGACTTCAGCCTTTAATGTTCAAAATTTTTAGTTCAGCACTAGAAGATTTCAAAATATGTCTATGATGGCAAGACGGTGGTTCAAAGAGGATTAAGGTAATTCTAATGAATTTTTGGCCCCTGCATTAAAATTTGATGTTTCCCACCTAATCTGGCTTCTGCAGTTTCCCTATAAGCTAAAAAACTGCCAAAAAAGACTCGATTCCAGGTTCTTCTGCCCCTATGGTAAGATCAAATTTTGTCGGAATAGAAAATTAGCCTCTCACCAAGAATTAGCGAAAGAATTTGATGAGGAAAGTGCTAACGCTGAGAACAGCACTAATTTTGTGCAAAGACTTAACCTAAAACTGATAGGGATGGTAAATAACCTCAAACACGGCGCTTTGGCTCAGCATTTGCATGTTGCATACATTGTGAACAACACAGGGTGGGGGAGGAACATTACTTTTCGAGAAATCTGCCAAAACGGTCATAGGCGCAATTTGACTCATGTAGAGTTTTGATTTTCTCGTGACCTGGCAATTCAAATTTCATGTTACCAGTATAAAATTGAAACTTTCATATCTTAGTTAGGAATTGATTTCAGTAATTTCTGTTGCGCCGATTGTGCTCCAGATGACAAAGTTCAGAAACATGCATCAGAATGCTAAAATTCATACTGTATCCACTGGTCTTTTTTTAAATGAAAAGGTGTTTATTTTTTCAAGTTTCTTTGAAAAAAAAATTATACATACGTATACATCTATAAAACGCCAGGGTTTAAAATAACCCGAATAAAACCGGCTGAAAGCTTTGGTCGGAGGGGGAGGGGGGAGCGGCACGGCTTAGGTGGTAAAATTGTGCTAAATCCTCACGATTAACCGGGGAAAGTAAGGTCATTAAAATTCACAATATTTTAATGAGACTGAAAAATTTAAGGTCCAGTTAAGCTGAATTCAGTTGAGTTCACAAACAAGTGTGATCTACCGAAGAAGGGTAAAATGACTGAAAATATAATGGATCTCTCGGCGCAACCCCAGCTTAGTATTCCAGTGCATCTGCCTTAACTGAACTTTCCTTCCCCTCAGTCTTGTATTGATACTTATGAGAACTCAAATTTTGGACTCTACTTGAAATGTTTGGAATTATTTTGGTCTTGTTATTCTTGTGAAATAGCGTGGACCCAGCACTAATTCACCACCTTATAACATACAGCTCGGGCCACATTTGTGTTGATTTTTTCCTTATATATTTATGTAAATATATTTTTAATGGTATATTTGAGTAATTAAGTTTAATTTACTTTTATTATACGCATGATTTTAATTTTTATTTTCAGATGCATCTACCTAACATTAAAGTACACGCATATTTTGCACCTCTAACACCACCGCCATCCAGTGGAAACTCAAGACAGCGGTATTGCAGATGCTGTGTTATTTTGTGAAAATAACTTCCTCTTGACTTTTTTCTGCCAGCCATCATCTTCATCCTGTTTTCAATGTCTTTTTTTATTTTTTATTGTTGGTATTTTATTGAGTAGTCTAGCCATCGAAACGGAAATATTTGATATTATCTACCTTTATTGAGCTTTTCGCCCTCAATTTAGTTAATTGGTCTGGATTTACCGAACTTAAACGTACATTTCCTTTTCTTTCTCTTTTCTTTATTTCTTTTTTCCATAGATAATTTAGATTTTCTGTCTCATGCAAGAGCCTAATGGTCCAAACCAGAATATACATCAAAGAACATTTTGAAACCGCTTTCCTTCTCCTGGACGAACAAACTTTTGACGTACGTTCTTTCTCGTCTAAATTTGAAAAGAAAACATGCCATGCAAAAAATTACGTTGAACATCGATATATTTGTTGCCGTAAATGCAGAAACCTGGGCACATTGCGATCTGCCTAGGCTGATCGCGATTTTAGAGAGTACATGCAATCCGCAAATGTGCATACCCCTAGTGCCCGTCAACACCCCTAGACCCCTGAGCGCTTATCCGTCCCTGCTTACACCTACACCGGGTTGTTACACACTTCGTGTTGAAGTTATGGAAATAGGATCTTTGGCTTCCAGTGAATGCTAAGTTTTTAAGTTTTGACAATGCGTATACCATAGTAATTCTCAAATAAGGTACCCATTTTTATCAAAGCTTCTCTTTTTTTAAGTAAATGAGTGGAATCAGAGTCTACAAATCAGCAGTAGCCGTTTCATCAAGACAATCAAATCACAGAAATTTTAAGGTATGTCTCCACTTTTTACTCGGTGATTTTTAATTCTGTCTCTTTTTGGTCGAGTTTATGCTTTGAATGCACCCTAGCAGCACAAAGACGTAAAATTTACAAAAGAAAATTCGTAAAAAAAGACGTAAAACAGACCAAAAGTGAAATGCCGATGTAGCCTTTTTTACAAGAATAATTCGAAAAGAGTACAATATTTTTACGTAAAAAGATCAAGTTTTTTTTACGTAAAAAGTTATATGCAAGAAAACTCCTGCTTCCTAAAATTGACTTAAATGATAAAGCGTGAAGAAAAAAATAAACTTTTTACCTATCTGGATCTGTCATCAATTAATTCTCCTTGAGATCAACTTTCAAATTATTATCTACCTGTCGGGAATTGAACCTGGGACCTGACTATCAAGATTCGAATGCGCTACCTACTGAGCAAACGAGGCTTCTGTATGAGAGGGGCAAATTTGCGCTGTATAAGTGAATATTAATATTGTTGAATATGTGTGAGAACGAATTGCTGAATATTTGTGCAATTTGGAAAAACTGTATATGGGCAAAAACTAATATTTATCATGGATCTTTTAAAGATATTATAGGTACCTACTTTCAAAAGTACCTTTGTTATTCATGAATAATATGTGAAAAAAAGTATGTACACCAGTGTTCGAAACTCACAGGCGCCAACGCGCCAAATGCACCTAAAAAATCGGCCACGGCACCTAAAAAATGAAGGCTCCGCGCCAACCTGGCCCCTATAAATCTGGATTTTCACAGGAAGTCACATATAGAAAGAAAAACAAATCTATTTGAATCAGAAAAAACTCAGAATTTTCAGCACTACAAGTGAAAGCTTTTCCTATTCTTCACGATTTCATTCTTAGCGTTTTTGTCTTCCCCTAGTTACAGCTACTTACTTCTGTTTCGAAAACATCTTCGTCTCACTTCTCATTAAACGCGCTACAATATATAGGCAAAAAGTCAATTTGGCCCCTAAAATATCTTCAATGGCGCCTAAAAATCAGGCTTGATGCGCCACATGGCTCCTAAAACTCAAAGGTGAGTTTCGGACACTGATGTACACTGTAATAATTTGTCCCCCTTTTTTGGCGCGTATACGTAGTATACCGCCTTTGCGATCGTTTCGAATCCTGCTCGATACAATAACCGAGTCCCTCAGTTCCTTACCGAAAAGTGACTACCGCGAACTTCTGAGATTTTCCAAAGCGTGTAAAAAGTTTATTTATCCATCAATAATTATGATTTAAAGTTGTTTCTCATTCTGGGGCTCATTAGTTTATGTGCAGTGAATACCAAGAGTCTACGTTACTTGGTTTTTTCAAAAAAAGCCTAAGAATGCGACGCGCTGATTTAAAATATGCATACATAAGCAGAATCAAGCGAAATGATTCGAGGATGGCTGAGCAGGTCGGCACTCTCGAAATGAGAATTTAACTCCTCCGTTTTGTTCAAAACGTTGCTTTGACAGATCTGTAACCTCGGCTATAATTTCCAAAAGTTGGTACCCGTGCTCTGATAGTGCAATCTGTGTAAGTGCAATCTGTGATGAGCCTCGAGACTCATTAGACCATTAGCTAAACGTGGCTCATACAGGAATCCACTTACCCCTCTCTTTCCCACGCTCCTGCTCACTGCGTCGGCGTCTCGACGAACAATAGCTAATGACGGTTGCCAAGCGATGCCGGGATCCTCAGCCCCTCGCCCAATTACTTACGCTTCATTAACCATTTCACCGTCACGCTAGGATTCGTCCAATTTTCAAAAAAAATTGTTTCGCGAGTTTTTAGCAATTTTTTCCTTACTCTCCGTTAAAACACGAATTAAAAGAGGTCTCATTCATAAAAATCGGCCAAATAGAAGAGAAGTTACAGTATTCGAAATCCGAAGAAATCAACAAAACTTCTCCAAACAAAAAATAAAATGAAGGGGAGGGGGGGAATGTATAAATTACAATTTAATATGATTGACCTCAGAATGTGACAAGCAATTCAATTATAAAAAGGAGAAAAAATTGAGTGAAATTACAAAAAATTAGCCTCTTGCAAGGGGCTTCCTTGTATGAGTTTTGACCTGAAGACAAGTAAATCCCGTTATATTATTAAAACAAAATTGACTCCATAGTTTAATGCCTTAGTTTCTTGAATACGATTATTTTAAGCACTCGATTTATATCAGCAATTTTACCCATGAGGTGATTTCCTGAGAGCTGATAATATCACGAATTTCTCATAGAGCCCTTCAAAAATGGCTTGCTTTTTGGGCAGCCGATTCGGCCATCAAACCGGGGTTTAAATGGAAGCTGATAATAACACAAAGCTCTGAGAACAATTTTAAGATGAGTATAGGAACGGTTTGTACATTACGAGGAGAGGCGGGCATTCTGTTCAGCATATCGATACATAAGTATTTTCACACGTAGAATTCAATTTTCACGTCAGGGAGTCGACATATTTTGATTTTTTCGATTTTATACGGAAAATTTATGGTTTTTCGGGATTGAAATTACTTACAATTGTTTCATGAAAAATGAATGCACCCAAAATGACTATAGCATTTTGACTTTCACATACCTACGTGCACTCACTAAATTGATTGGTAAATTCAAAGAGTGGGTACATCGACCTGGTATATCAAGTTTCTGTGATTTTTTACGGCAAATCGGTAGATTTTCGGGATGTGGATTGCTTACTTTCAATTCATGAATGAATAAAGCATGGACATGGTTGAGCTTCTTTGCATGAAAAGACGTTTAAAATAACAAAATCAAGACATATTTAATACAATTGCATTTATATCGAGTCAATTTCTTTTCAATAATATAACGGGATTTATAATACCGGTGATTTGGGTATTTTAGCCCCAAAATACCTTTAAATCGACTTTATCCTCTAGGAATTCGACAGAATTTTTCCTTTCTTCGCTTAAATTTTTCCGTAGCACTTTTCCTCAAGAATCTGATAAGATTTTGCTTGAGGCGGATCAAAAAACTTAAATTTGTTCGAATAGCTTTCTAGATTCACAATACACGGTCTCGTCAAGGTGCGTCGTTGACCTTGCAGTGTTGGATCGTGAATTCTCCTGTTGTGCTGCTTGCCTTTTTTGAAATCTTTGTAAATGAAAACTAAAGGGGTTGATATGTGCGAGTTAATGACGCGCCTTATCAACACATTGTGTTGGAGTTCACTGCTTGTTTTCTTTTTCTTTTCTTAAGTTTTATTATAACATGCATCAATTTTTATAATAATGTCTTAACTATTTTAATGAAGATAAGTTATTAAAATCTTCTCGAACTTATAAAACTCTGGTTTCTTTGTTCAGAACAATGTGTTTTTGTATCCAGTTTTCGGGCTATACTTTTTTACAAAAAATCTTTAGGGGACATTAGAATTTTTTGCTGAATTTCCTTGTAATAAAAACTACAAAGGTATTTCCTGTTCGGTCAATTTAGCGAATTTTCAGTGCAGACATTCTCCCCCAATTTTTTGGGTGTTCCCAAAACTTTCGCACCTAAAAAATAGATGCTTGAAGAGGTAAAAATAGAAAACTAGTGATTTTTTACGCCAAGAAGTCAGAAAAAAAATTCAGTGATGACAGTTTTGAACGTAAAACTCGTAGTTTCAAAACGACAAAAATTGGTCCTCCTTGAATTTCTTTTTGACTTTTTTTTACGTACAAAATCCTATGATTTTTTACACATTTAATTTTTTTTCTGAATTTTTTTCCTGATTTCCTGTCCGCAAAGAATCGCGAATTTCTTACGTAAAGAATTCAGTTCAATCCCCCAATTTTTTTACGTCTTTGATCACAAATTTTTTACGTTAAGTTCTCAGACTCTAATTTTTTACGAGATCTTTTACGTACATGTTTCGTACTCGCAAAATTTACCGGTTTTAATTTTTTTTTTTTTTTTTTTTACGAATTATATTACATGATGCGCTACTAGTGCGATCTGCCTGGGGAAATTCGAAAAAAAAAATGGTGATTGTCCCGAGATTTGCCCGTAAGACTAGGTTACATGTTGATCTGCCTGGGTAAATTCCAGGACCTATGTTCATTTCAGTTTTGGCCCTAAATTTTGTGGGCACTTCGTGATGTGCCTAGGTTTTGGCATCCGCCCATAATTTATCGATTCTAAAACTTTTATTGATGTATTGATGGATCTTAAATTTCTTAAGTGAGCTTCGACCTATCATTCAGTATTTAATTCGTTGCTGCCGTCCAAAGAAAGAACGCCGTATGAACATTCGAGAGTTGCCGAATTTTTCACTGATGAAATGTTCATTTTTGAGGAGAGTTATGACTAATTTCTCATGAAATTTTCAGATAGTTTAGATTTAACAATGTGGAGTAATGGTGCTGGGTCCACACCATTTCGCGGGGAAACAAAGCCAAGAAATACAAAAAATTAAAATTAGAGTCAAAAATAAATTTTTAGAACTCTAATGCGCACCAGTTCGGAACTGAGGGGGGAGAGTGTTCAGCTCAGGCAGTTTGCAATGGAATCTTAAGTTGGAGTCACGCCGAGATATCTATACCGGTTTGAGCCTTATTAGACCTCATCAGCAGATCACACTCGGCAGTGAACCCAACTTAACATGCCCCAAAATCCAAGACGGCATTAAAACGCCGTCATGGATATGACCCGAGGCATGACACAAAAGTGTGATCCTCGCGCCATCTACCGTCGCTGCTGAACAACTCTCATAACAAAACAAGGGAAACGCGAGAAAAATGATTATCCGACTGGTTGGAGATGCGAACGCATGTAGACGCAACCGCCCGCTCTCGAACGAGAGAAACACATACCCCGAACTGTGCGTACAAATGAAAAAATTCAACACTAGGAAGTGGCCCGAAACTGTATGTAACAAGGTGGAGAAATGGTGCTGGGTCCACACCATTTCGCGGGGAAACAAAGCCAATAAATACGAAAAATTAAAATTGGAGTCAAAAATAAATTTTTAGAACTCTAATGCACACCAGTACGAAACTGAGGGGGGAGAGTGTTCAGCTCAGGCAGTTTGCAATGGAATATTAAGTAGGAGTCACGCCGAGAGATCTATACCGGTTTGGGCCTTATTAGACCTCATCAGCAGATCACTAGTGTTTAATTTTTTCATTTGTACGCACAGTTGGGGGTATGTGTTTCTCTCGTTCGAGAGCGGGCGGTTGCGTCTAGATACGTTCGCATCTCCAACCAGTCCGATAATCATTTTTCTCGGGTTTTCCTTGTTTTGTTATGAGAGTTGTTCAGCAGCGACGGTAGATGGCGCGAGGATCACACTTTCGTGTCATGCCTCGGGTC